CATGTTCATACTGCGGTCAATTATTACCCCCAGGTCTGTGGTGGCAAGTGGTGGGGATTCTTCAGTCCTGCTGCCTGATGAGAAGCACATCACGACTTTTGCCTGTCAGCAGCTAGGGGTGCAGAGCCTCAGAACCCCCTTGCACCTATCTCCTTAACAGCTGGCAGGCTTTGTGGCTGCAGCAGGACCTAGCAGTCATTGCAGGCCCTGCAGTAGTTTCCCCACCCTCCCCCATGCCCCAAGACAGACAGTCCCACAAGCACCCATGACACGAGTTTTGTCTGTCAGCAGCTAGGGCTGCAGGGCCCCAGCCGCCCCCTGCCCCTATCTCCTTGACAGCTGGCAGGCTTTGTGGCCTCAGCAGGGGCTAGCAGGCCTGCAGCTTTCACCCTGCTGCGACTTAACACACAGAGTGTCACCCATGTCATGAGTTTTGCTTGTCTGCAGCTTGAGGTACAGTTTCCCCCAAACCCCTGCACCTATCTCCTTGAAACTTGGCAGGCTTTGTGGCCTCAGCTGGGGCTAGCATGCCTGTTGTTTTCATGCCACTGTGGCTTAACACATACATATGACATGAGTTTTGCTTTCAGGACTTTGGGGTGCAATTTCTCCAACCCCCCTTTACCTATCTCCTTGAAACTTGACAGGCTTCATGCGCTCAGAAGGGGCTACCATTCCTGCAGGTTTCATCCAAATCAGGCCAGAAATGGCAAAGTTATAGGCTGTTTGGACCTTCCCCATTATATCCTATGGGCTAAAGCGTCAAAATAGTTTTGCCTTTTCGACCCTGTTTCGATGGAACGGAACAGCTGTTTCAAATCGAAACAAAATTTAAAACCGAACGCTGTTCCATTGAAACATCAAAATGAAATGCTGCTGTTTCGCACAGCCCTGATATCTATATCTATACCTGTATCTGTCTGCATATAGCATGAGTTTATAAGGATATTGAACTCGATAAGCATGCATAGTTTTAGCAAATATAATCAAAGAAGAGGAAGTAACAAGCTTGGATGAGGAAACAAGAGTGATGAAAAATGCTGGCAGTAAGTCTTGTAAGAAGTATTGTTACATTTTTGTAATGTTAGCAATATGCTTTTTTCTTCTGCCATGAATTATGCCGAGTGGGAGTAGTTTTTCCTCCTCTTTGGCAGAAGGCAGGGAGTTGTGGCACCTCTAAGAGAGAAAGGTGCCTTGCCTTCTGCCTGACTTCAGACTAACATGGCTAACTGCTTCTCTTGGGGCATAGTTGTCATGTTCAAGATTCTGGTCAGAACTTTGGCGGTAGGTCACAAGTATTTGGGTGGGCTTGGAAGAGAAACCAAAAGACTGCCAGAACGGCACCTCTTGGAACCGTGAGCTATGGTCTGTTAGATTGTTGGGAGGTAAGAGCAGACAACAGTGACTCCAAGAAGGGTCTCCAGAGTGGCTGAAAGATGCTTTTGAGGAAGAAGAGAAAAATGACTTTTTGTCTCCTTTTAGCCCAAGAAGTTCCTGAATTAAATTTAGACCAGAAAGCAAAAAAAAAAAAATAATTTTTTTGCAGCTTTTACAGAAAGGTCAGAGTAATTTTTAGGGACTCAAGTCACTATAAAGGATTTCTTGTGCTTTAATTTGATTTAAGCATAAGCATTACCTGTTTGCCTCTGTGTCTGGTGGTAGGAAGGTGAAACTTTTAACAGTTTCTTTTGTTTTTTATTTGCCTGTAAAAATTACAGGGGAAGGGTGGGGATCTCAGTCCTGATAGAATCCTTCTTTTGCCTAGCATTTACACCAAAAGTATTTTTACTGTGTCAAGATTGACCCATCACCTGATCTGTGGTATGTTCAGACTGTATTGTCTGCCTCTTGTTTACGCTGTTTGCCACCTGGACAAAATCTTTGACAGGAAAATGTCTTAGAACCTGGGAAGTTTTTGAAGGCCTTTTGCTTTGGACTTCTAAAATTAGACTAACCAATGTTATAAAATAAAACAGTAGAAAGGATATATGTTGCTGCTTTAAATTTGATATATTAAAAGAACAAATGTGTTGTTTCAGCATTAGGCAGATGAGGTTCTTTGGGTGAATCTGATATCTTTTATTACATCAACTAAATAGTTGGAGAACAATTTTTAAGCAGGCTTTTGGGTTCAAAAACCCTTCATCAGGCTAAGAAAGTTTCAGCAGTTGATGTGTGCTCTTCCTGGATGGAATGAAAAGTAAAGAAGCCAGCGGCTGGGCTGGTATGCATACAAGACAGGTAGTCAGTGAAAATGTAGATTGAGGAGTCAGTGGGTGGGAGATGGGCTGGGTGGGCATTAGGAGTTCTTCCAGGTTAACCATGTAATGTACTTCGTTACATATTTAATATTAACAATGATGGCTAATGTGATAAATTAGTGGAAAAATAATTTGATTGTATAGTGCAGTTCTGAAAATAATAATGAGGAATAAATTAAACAATAAGGAGGCTTCTAGATGCAGGAAAAAGATGGCATGATGGAATCCTATGCTGTACTGTGTCTTACTAGAGAGCTTATCTCTTGAAATGCACATGAATTTTAAGAGCTATTTTAGCTCTTGTTATGGTCTCCTTAGAACTTACAGGGCTCAATTAAAAAAGATGCTATACATTCAGACCTGAACTCTACACTGTATTTCACCATATCCTGACTCTGTGCACATTTCAAGCATGGGCCCAAAGTGCTCAGTGGCTTGTAAGGATGAGCTGTGAAAGGGAGGCAGCCAAATTCTGGCAACAGTTATATTGATGTATGTCAGTGGAATTTCTCGGGTAGCCAAAGCACACTGTATTGTATTGCTTCCTCCCCCCCCTTCCCTGCCCCCCACAATCCTGCAGTGATGACAGCCACATTTAAATCTGATTTCAAAATTCCAGTTGACTTTTGTTCTGCCAGATTTCTTGTTTTGCCTCCCCTGATGGCTGAGGAGCTGCAATTTGCAATGAAACTTTGAGATAATTCCATAATCATATAACTGAGAGAGAGAACTTTTTTTAGTGAATATACGTGCTTTTTTTCCCCCCCCAGCTTAGGGCCTAATACTAGAATTATATTTAAGATCTCCTTGGGTGATCTCTTTGGACCAGATCTTTGGGAAATTGAAAGGAAAGGATCACTTTTAAAAAGAGGTTAGTATGAGGCAGAAACCAGTGTAAATAACTTCCTAATGCCAAAAATGAATGTTTGAAGTTGAAGGCAAGTGCTGACAAAGTTCACATATACAATTTATTTTTAGTCAGCATCTTCCATTATATTATTTACCTTGTCAAGTTGCTTTTAGTTACATAAAAGAATAACTTTGATTTGGGGTACCTGCTTTACTTTGGTTCTTTGATTTAAACATGTATTTATGACTTATTGATTAGTGACCTGCAGCAAAGGACTATTAATGGAGAACAGTTTCCTTTAGAAATGCGGCCAGAGGCATGCAAAATAGTGATGTGGATCCTGTACTTTTTTTTTTCAGTTGAAAACCAAACTGCCTAGTTAGAACTGCTAGGGAAACAATGCTTGTTGCTGGAAAAGCAAATGTAAGGCCAAATTCTGTTGCAACCCCAATATAATATAGAGCTACTTCTCTTAAGTTGGAAGGAAAACCTTGATGGGAAACCAAGGCAGAATTTAGTGGTCTAATATTGGATTTGTTGCGCGTTTTCCCCTTTTTATTCTGGCCTCCCACTAGTTTTACACTGGTCAGATTCTATATACTTGAAAGGGTTTGCACTTCATTCTCAATGACATTAGTGAGATGGGACTGGAGTGAGATGGAGACCAGCTTTCTAAAATGGTTCTGCCTGATGTTGAACATCCTCAATTTCCATAAAAGCCAAAGACACCCAGGGACATAATATAGCCTTTTAAAATATGTGCAGCAGCTCAGTGGCGAAGAATTGGGTATTTTGTGCATTATGCTTCCTTTTATTTAAAGTGGGGATGTACAGGAAAGAATGTTATTCTCCCTTTCCATCCCTGTTAACTGATAATTTGTTTAATCAATACTGCTGATGAAAACACAGTTGTTATTAACAATTAATGACAAACCCGTTGGCTTTTGAACATAGCAACTTTGAACAAGGCAGATGGTAAAAACCACTTTCAAGTACATTTCAGGATGAATGCCAGCCCCAGCAAAGGTGGAAAAGATGGATGGTCTGTTTGTGGAAGAATGAATTTACCTCTTGTGTCTAGCTGGATGCATGTGATATCTTACACTAGTGTGAAATTTTAGAAGGTTCCAGTGAGAGAGAAAAACATGACATAAACTTTAACCTTCTTTCTTCCAGACGTTTCTGACGTTCATCACCAAAACTTGTCATGTTTTGGCTCACAGATCTCCAAAAATCTTCCTCTCCATTTATTTGTTTTTACCTGTTGCATATGCAGTTTTTAGGAGTTCAGAAGTTTTCATTGTCATTTCAATAAATGCATGCAAACACTAAAAAGAGGTTTCTGTTTGTCCTTAGACTGGGATAAGGCAACCTCATTTTCACTTCTGAAATGTGCAAGAAAAATACATAAACAAATGATCCAAAATTATTACTCTCTCTAGGAAATTAGAGCCTTTATGACTGCAAGTTCCTATAGGACATTTTTATACATGTATGTGTTACAGTGCCAGGCAATTTGAAAAGTGCCCGGCACTGCGACGCATCCAGTTGTATAAGCAGTGAAATGCGCGTCAGCACTGAGAAAATGGCAGTGAACTAAAACACCTCGGAGGCTCCTGAGGCGACTTGTCTGTGGGGGTGGGAGGTGGGGCTGGCTCCCTGCCACTGCGCACGCTCCCAGGGGAACAGGGGGGACCCATGCCCCTCATCTGTGTGCAGGACAGGGATGGGCATGGGCTCCTCACTGCAGACTCGGGCTCCTCTACTTCCTGCCCTCCACCAGGGCTTCCGCAGCCCAGTTTTCCGGCTGTGTTTTAGCATCCTTTGATAAGACTTTGATGCCTCAAGGGCTGTATGTGCATCTCATTATTTTGGTGTTACTGTTGCAGTTTCCAAGACAAGGCTTGCAGCAGACTCAGCAGCAACAGCAGACAGCTGCTTTAGTCAGACAACTCCAGAAACAGCTCTCTAGTAAGTATGCCTCTGCATATGTGAGGGGCTTCTCTTTATGTAGTTTCTTTTGCATATTTAAAATATGAAGAGTGAAATCTGAAGTAATACATCCTACTGAAGTTGACTTTCCTTGTGACCTGAATTGGCACAGTAACTGTGACAGTAAGTTACCCTCCCCACATTGAATGTATTCAGTCTCCACACGAGTGCCAAGGTCAAAACTGAATCACACTAGGACCAAAGCCTTATTGTTTCCCATCTTCAGTTTACTCCATTATCCCCACGCCTGATTTGGCAAGAGCATGTCAGGGATACAGCTGTTGATTTCCCAAAATGTTCCTTGCTCTTATTTTAAACATTTGATTTTTGGACTGTTTCAAGTCAATCTGAATAAGTATGAGAATGAAAGCTAGTTTTGGGGTGAAAATCAGAAATAGAAAAACAAAGCTTTCAAAACTTCTGAATAGCTTTTGTTTTCCAATAGTGGGAACGCTCCTCCTGTTTGCCTTTCCCTGTCACAGTTAGTGGTTAACAATGGTTAATCACTGACAACAGAACCCCTTCTACCAGCGAAGTGCCACCACGAAGCTATTATGCAGTAAACTGACCATAGGTGATATCAGGGTTTGAGTGAGTTGGAAAAGAGAGAAGCAGTTGGCCAGGTGAGCTTTTGATCTTTAGCTACCATTTTGACTTAAGTGTGTTCTGTGTGAATGGTGGCAGAGTGATGTTACTCAGTACTGTCAGCCAAGGCAGAGTTGTGGCTTATGGAATCCTTAACATGAAGTTCATGATTGTATGGAGCTGCCCATTGTCCAAGCTAGAGTGGAACAATCAGCCTCAGACTAGGGCACAATAATTCTCCCAAGCACCAGAGAATAAGTGCAGTTATTAAAAAGGAGGACTGTTCAGAACTCGGGTAGATCTGGCAGCTGGACCAAGTGGGTCATTACTGGCTTTTTTTTATTTTGTAGCAAATTTTACTGCAGTCACAGTAATTCAGAGACCTATCAAAAGCAACACAGAAAGGGATCAGATGTAGGCTGTGTCAGCAGTCAGCCTGAGGGTGACATTCACTTTCCAAGTTCTAGAGTTATTATGAAAATGGAAAATACACAAGCTAATTTTGAAGCATTTACCTGCAAGCAGCAGTTATAGCAACAGTTGGATGTAATTACCAAAACAGAACTCGAGGGGTCTTCGAGATCCAAGAAGGCCTAAAGGTAGAGTATTCAGCAGATATTGTCAGCATAAATGAATTTACAGGATAGAGATTTAGGCAGATTATTGACACAAGTTAAAAAGTGAACCTGGAGGCAAACCATCAAGACCTGCATGGTACTGTAATAAGAATAGAGCATTCTAATTTTCACTGCTGTTCAAGGCCAGTAAATTGGCCATATTCTATATCTAAGAATTCTTAAATCCTACTTCAACAGGATGAGCCTGTCATAGAAACTGAGGATAGAATCTGTATTTGAAACAGACACATGACTAAGAGTATGTCTACACTGCAGCACACACCCTTTGTAAAGGTATCTGGGCTAGCTTTCAAATGAACCAGCTCAAATACTGGAAAGCATAACTATGCTAGTGTGGCACTACCTGGGCTAATTTACTTCCCTCAATGCAGACTTATTTCAAGCTTTTGGTATCTTTATGTGGAATGTCATTGTACCATGTAGTCATGCATTAAGTTACTGCATTTCAGGAATAAAAGGTGTTTGGCATATCTAAGGATTAAGACCCACATTCATACAAGTCAGTGTTTTGAATTTGCCTGGCTAATAATTTTATGGATTCATAAAGTGGTGAAAGAATTAAGTCTGTCACTATCTTCAGCTTCAAAACCTATGCTTAGCTGACACCTCACACCATGAACAAATTTTCATTTGTTGGCAAGCTTTTCCGTAGAAATTCTGATATGAATGTGACTGCCAGCGTAATCCTCATGGAACTTCAGCATATTCAGGCTTGAAAGCAGGCTGCCAGAAAGGCTTGCAATTGGGTCCCTAACAAGAAATGTTTTTCTTTCATTATTAGTTAAGAAACACATTTGGATAGTTCCCTAACAAATTGCAAGTGTCAGCATGCTGCCAGTTCAAATGAATGTGAAAAAGTAATGTTGCTTGGAGCGGCCTGATTTGCGTTATGGAATACATTCCTATTTCAAGGTTCCTTCATATTCGATTCTATAGACTTGCTGTGGTTGGCAGGAGCTCCTACCTGCTGAGTGCTGGAATATTTTTCTCTAAACTACTTGACCTTGGAAGGGGGAGGAGAAGAAAAAGACAGAAGTAAATATCCTCTCCTAGAGTTGTACATAATTAGGTGTTGGAATCTCATTACTTGTTTTGTTAACAGCAATTGCTTTGCCTTCAAATCTTAGTCATAAGGCTCAGATTGAGAATAATATCCTAATTACCAGGGTAAACTGGGCTGCAAGGAGTCCCGTGCTGCCATGGCTAAATAGCTTTGAGAGCCTGAACTAGTTTTTAAATGGCTAGACTGGGTATCTGTGTACAATCTTGCAATGCAATACAGAAGACCTCCTGACTTCAGTGAAGGGTTCTCCATAAATGGAACAGGTAGCAACATATATGTGCTTAACTTTACTACCATGAGGACTGTGCCTGAAATCCATGAGGTAAATGCTCTGTGGTAATGTTCTGCATGTCTCTAAATGTTTCTAGGATTGAATCCATAGCGAACAAGGCCAAAATTACCACTGTCAGCATTGGACCTGGACTGCAAACACGCCAGTTTAATAACAAATGGAAGCAGTTCACACTCCTCAGGTCAATATTGTTTTAAGCTGTCTGCACACACAGGAAGTCTATGCAGTACTCAATTTGTCTTCATGGCAAAAAAGGTTGAAACCTCTGTACAATTCTTGTTAAAAATTTTTTCTCCAGTTTTTCTGTTGAGAGTGAGAGGACATGCTCATAGATCGAAGAGGTGTACAAGGGAGATTTTTTTTGGCAAAGGAATACTTTCTGCAGAATAAATGAGGCCCAGTGTTTAAAGGAAGCTTATCTGGGAAAAGAAGTGTTACAAAATGGTTGTTTCTTCATTTGATAGTTTAGAAATTTCATGTGGTTACACAAAGCATTTCTTCTTCAAAAGGTTTCTTGAAGTGTCCATGCCTGCAATCCTGGTATAGGCAAAACCTCCCTAGGAAGTCAAAGGGAGTTTTGACAAGTAGGTGGGCAGAATCCAATTTGTAACTTGTGGTTGGTCAGCACAGAACAGTCGCAGAATCGTAGAAAATTAGGGTTGGAAGGGATCTCAGGAGGTCATCTAGTCTAGCCCCCTGCTCAAAGCAGGACCATCCTCAGCCAGAACTTTGTCTAGCCAGGTCTTGAAAACCTCCAAGGATGGAGCTTCCACCACCTCTCCAGGTAACCTGTTCCAGTGTCTTACTACCCCTCACATTTTGGTGAATGAATTGCTCTGAGTCTTAAGTTGGCTTGTCACTATTCTGATCTGAAAGATGTTTCTGCAGGTTTTTGTATAAACTAGACATTGAACACATGCATTTCCCTTTATTTTTGTCAATTAGGTAACCAGCCACAACAAGGAGTGAATCAATATGGGCATCCTTCACACTTCTGAATCTGGAAGACAGGAACAAGATGTAGTGTTATGTTTGCACTGAAGAATAGAAACAAATCAAAATTCAATGCACTAGTTATTGCTAGAAAGCAAGTTTTAATTTTTTTTCTTTATTTTCAATACTTATTTTTTGTGCTGCAATTGATGTGAATAAGTAACAAAAGTGAAAGGTTTTTCTTTTGCATTTAACTAGATTTAAATGTATGGATTTGTGGGCCTATTTAAGGAACATTGTTGTTGCAAATTATATGAATTTGGTGCTTTTTTAGGGTACTGTTACTTTTAAAGAGGATAAAGAATGCTGGATTTTATTTATTGATGAGGAAACATTTTTTTTTTTTTTTTTTTTTTTTTTTTTAAAGAACTGTACTGGACCAAACTACTGAATTGAAAGGCACTTCTGATTCTGGCATAAAGGTTCCTTTGTTCATTAAAATGTTCACCTCTTAGTTCTCTGACAGTAGGACAATTATTGATTTAAATTATGTTAATTTTGACTGTTTGTAATTTTCATAAGCACTTTATATAAAGTCCTTTGGTTAAAAGTACCATTTTTCTCTTGCTTTCATTGTGGTAAGAAGGTGCTGAAGTGGGTTTCTTGCTTGTATTAGAACTTCTTAAGGTTTATATAAAAGCCACAATGTATCATTAATAAACCTACTAGAAGTAGCAGTGCTTCATATTTTTTCTTTTTTAAATATGTGCTATATAAATATATCTATATAGATCTATAATACTTTTTAAATTCAACTCTCAGTGACCTCTGAAAGTACCAAATGGAGTAACAAAGACCTGAACACAGTAGGCCTGTGCAACGCGGCTAGTATTCGATTCGGATTCAGCTGATTCGGGGGACAGTGGTTCGGTTCAGTGATTCAAATCACTGTCCCAAATCAATTTGGCCAAATCTCTGAATCAAACAGACCCCATCCCTCGCCCATTCTCCCAGCCCCATCAATGGCTGTCCCAGCTGGCCCCAGCCTCCCAGCTCTTTTTTTTTTTTTTTTAAAGACCCCACTCGCCAGCTGCTGCCAGGTGAGGGCGGCAGTCCCAGCAGCTGTCGGAGCTATGGGGCCGCATGGCAGAGCCCTCCCCATAGCTCCTGATCCCCAATATCCCCCTCCTTCCCAGCCCCATTGCTGATGGCTGCACAGCACAGCCCAAGCATCCTGGCAATTAAAAAAAAAAAAAAAGCCCTGCACTTACCAGTTGCTGCCAGGTGGGTGGGGACAATCCCTGCTGCCCCCCACTGCTCTGCCACAAGCCCCCAGAAGCCCTGATAGTCACTGCATCAGCTAGTGAATGCGGGGCTTTTTTTTTTTTTCTTTAAAGTTCCCCCCCCCCCAGGCCCCCCCCCCCCACTTACCAGCACAGAGTCTGGGTCTAGCTCCCTGCGGTGGTGAGTGAGGACGGTCCAAATCTTTTCCAAATTGATTTGGAGAACTTCAAATTGATCTGGACCTTTTTATTGGTCTCCTGATTCAATTTGGATTTGGAGATTCGGCTGCTGAATCGAGCCGAATCTCCTCCAAATCGAATCAGCACCCCAAGTTTCACACAGCCCTACTGAACAGCCACAAGAGATTTATCTCTAACTCGTTTTGGCCCTGTTTCAAGTCCCATTAATATCCAACATGAGTCTTTCAGTTAACTTCAATAGGAATTGAATCTCTGGGTCTTGTTTGTAAGGTTCAGGAGAAACCTCTTTCCAGCTTCCGCTCTCTGGAGTTTTGTGAGGTGTTGGAAGAACCACCAAAATTACTTTAGCAGTTTTTGCAATGTAAGTTGGTCCTTGTTTGGGTAAATTGAAAAGAAACAAGCTAATCCTGTCAGAATGTCTCTACTATTTATTTTGTATGGTAAGTATTTAAAAATTTCTATTTGACTCTTAGTGCTGAATGAGTCTTGGTTGTGAAATGCAGACTGTATTTACAGATTTGGTACAAAATCACAAAAAAATAGTAACTATTTCAACCTGTTCAAATATGTGGTACATTTTTTTCATATTGGTGTTAAATAATCAGAATAAGTTTACTATTGCTTTGTGTGATTCAAGTTATTCCATGAGACCTTGTTTAGAACTAGGTATGCACATTTTGATTGTGAAATATTCAGGGTATTTAAAAATACATTTATTTTTATGTTTTGTACTAACTCATCTTTTCATTTGCCATTTGAATAGTTTACAATATAGTATCAAGAGACATCCTGCAGAGTCTCCACTAACAAGCTTCAATTAACTGAGAGAGAGAGTACAGCCAAATAAGTTTGATAAGTAGTTAACTTTGTATAAAAATTGAAAGTTTATCATTTGTATTTAAGTGTGAATTCCATGTTGCAAAGTCTCACTAATAGAAGTAACTTCTAGCAGATGTCAGCATATTTACTTTAATAACATTCTTGTAGCTTTCTTTGTACATTGTGAAAATTTTTAGCTAAGGATTTCTTGTCTTGACCATCTTTGCACTGGAACAGAATTTTGTCAAAAAATAAGGGCCACTGATTCCACAAAGCTAACATGTACTGTGTGTGTTCACAAAGTTGATATTTACTTATAAATTTATTTTTTCCTTTTTTGTACTTCAAGTATTGTCTCAAAGAAGCTGGATGCAAATTGATATCATTGCCTTTTCAAATGACTTCATTTTGCTACAAATTTATCAGTACAGTTATGCATATTCTGTGTCAGATCCGTTTTTGTCCTCATTTACCCATGTAACATTACTGATTTGCAGCGTAGTTACATGATTGTAACAGAGGACAGACTTTGAGCTTCATGTCTCATTTGTAGAATAAGTATGCATTCACAAGTTAATAATATTGAAAATGTTAGAAGCAAGATTAGTTTCTAATCTTTTTTTTTCCCTGAGCAAGGTGGATTTAAAATTGGGTTAAACAAAAAAGAAACCCTAGTACGATCAAGTTTCAGTAGTCTCAGAAGTCTTAGTCAGTAAAAAAATATTCTAAGCTACCCGTGTCATGTGAAACTCCACATAGTTTTGGCTTTGTAAGAGTCCAGTTTATTCACTGAAAGGGTCCAACTGACACAGAAGCTCTCAAAAATAATAAATAGCAGCCCTTAGGTCCCAAGGTTTTGGTGCTGGCTAGAAAGCTCAGACATCCCATGATTTCTTTAAACCTCAGAGCAAATGTGTGTTAGTCAAATTGTATACTAGAGTAACTATGCAATGGTACAATGGACAAAAAGACATACTACCACCTAAATGGGTTAAGTTAATTTGCTTTTAAATTTAAAGATAAACTATCATTTTCTGAAGGTACAGATTACTTCCCTTTAATTTATGGGTGATGGAATTGTTCATTTTTTTAAATTTTACCCCTTTACTGGGTCTTGATTAGGTTGGCAACAGTATTACCAAAAATTACCAGCAAAATTTTATCCAGCCAATTTGCCTCTAATGCACCATCAATTCTAGGGAAGGATGAAACAAGTGGCTAACTTTAGGAAGTCATCAATTTACTACAAAAGAATCAACTAAAATTTAGCTTGTGGCCTGCTTTTAAGGTTCTTCCTCAGTTGATTGAAATTTAGTCAAGAGGTATACCTGGCCTGAAAATTTGGGAACTCTCTGGTCCTTACCACAAGTTAAAACATTGGTGAGATTGGGATCTGAGAAATGCTATACCCCGTATTATACCTCATCCCAAATGCTGCTGACATGCATAACAGGATGCACAGTATTTAGTAAGGGGCATAAAATTCCTCAGATTCCAATTACTTGACTCCCAGGGATGAATTGGGACTCCCCTCAGCCTGACCCCACAAGTGAGAATCAGCTGCTTCTTAGCATTGGACCCCTGACAGTCTTGGGTCTGGGACACACGCCACACGGTATACAAACCAGACCCAAAAATGTTCCGTATTTTATGGCACCGTGCATTGGGTGAATGTGTGGCATGTTGCAATTTATGATGAGATTAATATATTAATCATGCCAAAAACATGTGTGCAAGGGGCCTCTGAGCATGTTCTAATTTTCTTAAGTATTAGATTTCCCGTAGATTAATTAGAGAGATGTTTAAGGATTTTTAAGTCCTTTCTTAGCATGTAGGAGTTTTATTGTAGCAGTATCTTACAAGCAATATTACTTTCTAATTGTTCTAGGCATTTCATTGATGTAGGAGCTGGTGTGGTATAGAATGGCAGCAGGTGTTTTATCCTGTACCCTTCCCACAAATATGCTATTTTCTGTATTAACTACTGTAAGAGCTAATGCTCTCTTGTGGCAGCATTACCTTCTACTTTGCAACCTATTATTCCCACTGGAAACAGTCAAAGACTGACATTTTTATAGACCTAGGGATGAACAGCAGTAAAACCAGCTTTCCATGCTGTTAGTATGGCAGAGACCATGGGGAGTAATATTGAGGAGATTCCATTCTACAAATATGTCACATAATCTGTGAGTTTTGGATACATTTTCTCTGCAGATAATCATGTTCTGTAATGAAGTTAAAAAGTTGTGACCCTGGTCTCTACAGACACTAATACCTCTACCTGAGAGCGTATGAATTGTGAACTCTGACTTTGCTATTGTTAGTTTAATCTTCTGAGGTTTATTTGGCTCATGAAGTCCTAGAGTCTTTTCTGGTGAAGAACATTTAAATAGGCATTTCGTTATTGCCTTAAAGGAATTAGCTTTTTGGGAATACAATTTTCCATTGGATGAAGCCACCTGTATTCTAACATATATGAAATGATTTTTAGTTTGAAATCTTTAGAAGCTGACTTTTGACAAAAGGCATGCTATACCAGCCTATATGGTTTGAATCTGTAGGTTTTTCAGTTTTTAACAAATATATATAGAATCTTTATTGTCTCTTTTGAAAGCACTATTAAACTATTTTGATTTTTTGAACAAAGAAGGAAAATTCAAGTGTAAAAGAATGTCATATTATTAAAAATAGCTCAATACTTGTTTTCTGTGAAATATTTATAAAAGAATTACAAAATATTCATACATGTCAATAAGGTAATTTAAATCACAATAAAATCTGTTCTTCTATTTTAAATACTTTTGAATGTTTGCCATGCTTATAATAATGATACAAAATGGGCAGTAAAAAACCAATATAAAAAAATCTTCTCCATCCTTAACTGAAGACTTTCAGTTACATTTTCTGGAAAGCAGTTTGATACTCACTGCTTCTTGGCAAAATAAAAGTGCCTTAAGTTAGATTTTGTTTAAGTCCATTAGTCATTGAAGAAATCAATGCTGTTTTATAATGCAAGACTTCCCTTCCCTCCTCCACTCCAAGTCTTTCTTTTTCGCATGTTCGTTGTAAACTGAATACTGTGAATGTGTTCAGGTTCACTTACAAGCTTATGGCTGCCTTTGATTAAACTTTTTCCAAAAATAAACTCAGTCCAGATGTAACCTTTAACAATTGTTCAGAGTATTTTTCTCATTTCAGATGACTTGAATATATGTTATTGTGAAATCGCTGCCAACCTGATTCTTAGCTGTGCACTTGTACATGCCAGAATCTGAAGGCTTTGGATGTTGGATGACTAATGTCCCTTGTGGGTGAAGCAGTTCACTTCCGGATGTTCGGCCTCTACTAGCTGTGGAAAGCACTGAATGGTCAGGCAGCTCCCATGTAATTTCTGGTTTTGGTATCCCTAGTGCCATA